TAGAAATGTGTGGAACCTATTGTGGCGTTGTAACAGTGTTTAGTCTCAAATGTCAAAAAATCCCTATAATTTACTTTTTAGGACCGCAGGATACAAGAATAAATTCACAATAACAGTCCATCTCAATTGCATTATTAATTCTTCACAAACCAATAACTAATGGGACATAATGACTCTTTTAATTTTCTGTTTTAACTGAAGGTCATGGAGAAAATAAAAATTATGTTATTACTATCCACAGAATACTGAATATACTGCTCTTTTTAATGACTTAATTTTTCATATGTTTGTCTCCATGTGAGATGTGATGTTGATCTATGGCTTCTAGAGCATCTACAGTAAAAATTATAAGATCAGAATGCGAAAAGGATTAACAGCCACACCCATATATCATTAAGTTGTCATAACTTTGTATTAGATGCTCTTGCTGAAACAAAACAAAACAAAACACACAACAAAAGAGCAAGAAGAACCACTGCTGCCTACTATGATCTTTCAGCCTTAGTCTTGCCTGAAATTCAAGTAATAACAAGCTTCTCAAGTTTTCATCGAAGTATTTGCTGTGCTGTTCATAATTCAGCTACTGAGATTAAAACAATCCCTTCAACCTGGTGTGAAGATGTTGGAATCAACTGATTCTTGCCAGCTCATAATTTGCTCTTACTTGTCCCTCCAAATGAGAGCAGAAAGCTGTCTACTGGAAACTTTGATGTGGATTCCCAATGCATTAAGGTAAGAAGAGTCAGAGAGGTCTCCTGAACCAATCCTATGGTGGGGGAAACTGTGGGAGGACACAGGGTGATTATGAGCAATTAAGTGACTGAACTTTTATCGTCACTGGGAGAAGGATTTCTTAATGTGAGGGAACACAGTCACTGAGGTCCAAAGCATACATTTCCAGGTTTGACAGCTACACTGGGCTCACAGTGCAGCCAGGCACAGAGAACCCTCCATGTGAAGGGAGGAGTGAGGCAATATTGGAACTAATGGCACCAGAAACAGACAGAAGAACCCCTATGGGATTAATCCTTCTCCAAGATAAAATGGTACTGTAGTAAGGTGTTTTAAATTATTCTATTTCCTCAACTCTGTAAGAAAAATCCCATTAAATAGGTGACAGTGCTGAGACTGAAAATTGTGTTGACAGAAGGGTGCATCATGAAAAAGACGAGGTCAAGGGAAGAACATTTGAGTAAGCCTTTTTTACATCCACTTCTATTTCTCCACATCTCACATTGTTGTCTTACACTGTCTATTTTTTTCCCAGCAGCACAAAATAGCCATTGACATTAAGAACCTATTCTCAGACCAAGTATTAGCTAATGTGCTAATAATTAATTCTGTGAAGCAGTTCAGTGAAAATTATTTGTAATCTGTGCTGTGGGCTGTCACAAAAGTATGCAAATTCTAATGCTATTTTATTATTTTCTACTACTTTGTTTCCTTATGCTTTGGGAAACTTCAAACATGAAGCTGTATCTTAACTAGGTACTTGGTGGGAAAGAAGTGCTGAGCTTTCACATAATGGTGAGACTTAATCACTAATGACTCTGTACTGACACTGTCTACTTATATTTGCAAGTATTTAATTGCTTCTGAAAGAATTAATTCCTCTAATAGGTCAATAAATAATGCACAATGAAGTAATCTCTCAACTTTAATTCTAATAATCAAAGAGAAGCAGTCTTGGACAAGATCTGTATCCCACATCAAACTTATCTTTTTATATTCAAAATACAAACCAGCACTCAAGATACTGCTCTGTACCATTTGTATGATTTTTCACTCCAGAATGGTAGGTAATTTTCTTGACAAATTACCTATCAGGAAGAATTTTAATCAGCAAAGTGATTGCCTAGGTATTAAGGCCTAATATTCAAACTGCTATCTAAATATTAAGTACAATTATTTATTTTCACTGAAACAAAATAATCTGTTTTTAACCTATAAAAAGAACAAAAGTTCAGACTAAGAAGAAATGATTTTGTCAAAAATATCATAATATTCTACTTTCTTAGGAAAATGGAATTAATTTATCTTATGATATAAAAATGTTTAGTGAAATCACATCAGGAAAAGCACAGAAATATAAACAACCTATGATAATCCCAGAGAGCTTCAATCCTAACTAATTTATAAATGCAATGTTTTTAATCTCCCATTGAGCAACTGTTTAAAGAGGTGAAAGCTTTCTTAGAATTTTAGCATTAATGTTCTTTCTTCCCAATTAGTTCTCATTGTTCATTTCTATTAGACTAGACTAAGGCCCTTGGCTTTTTTAAAGAGCATTCTTTTCTTGACAGAGTCCCAGTGGTATAGGAAACATAATTCTTAAGTAGAAAAATTACCAGAAGGATATAGAAGTAAAAAGTATAAAAGAAGGAAAAAACAGTTTAATTACTATGAACTCCTTTATGTCTTTTTCTTTTTTTCTTTTTCTTTAAATGTAATTCAGTGAATGTAACCAGTCACCATCATTTTTTACAGGGTTTTGTTTTTCCTATTAAGGGCAATGTCTTAGTTCCTAAGAGCAATTATAATTAAATGTGTTCATCTGAGAATAAATATGTGTTAATATGGTTGATTAATGTGTCCAAAACTCACTCTCCAAAGAGCAATAAATCTAGTATCTCTTACAACTGCCATTTAAAATGAAACTAGCACATACCAAATGACACCCAGTCATCCCTTCCAACATCAGCCATTCTGTGATTCTATGAATTTAGGCTCAAATGCATTTATTTGTTTACTCACTAACTCTCATCTAGTATCACACATCAATTATATGGTCCATTTTCTGTGGAAGTGATATTTTATGTGTTTCATTTTAATTATTGGAGAGGAAGCATTTCCAACACGTATTTCAGACTGAAAGTGGAGAGGACAGGTGAAATAAAAGATTACTGTGATCACCCAATTCTTCTCATTGATTCTAAACAGTTCTGACAGGTATCTTAGTCTTCAAAGTATTTTCTAGATTACGAAATTTAGATTATAGGAATTGGACAATATAATTCCTAAACCACCACACAAGTCCTGATTTAATGTTGTCTGGGCCAGAAAGTCTTCCATGTTAAACAATCAAGTGAGTACTAGATATCCTTCTTTGAAGAACGTGGCAGGAGCAATGAGACAGTGTGAGTACTAGAGATGTTCATACTTACACTGTAAACTTCTACAGCTGGGTGAGATCCATATGACTTGTCTTTCTATACCTAAATCTTGCAGTCAAATTTGAAAAATGTCTGGTACTTTCTGATACCTGTTTTCAGGAATTCTTAAGATAAGACTCTAAATTTGCCACAGAATGAACTGTGATAATGATGTAACATGGTTTGGAATTCCCAGGAAACACGTGCTTTGGAATTGATGGGCGGTCTCACATGAACTCATAGGAAAAGGGCTTCCCTGAAATTATTTGGATGTCTTAGGCACCTGGACCTCTGAGTTCAGTACCTGTGTGAGATTGTAGTCTGCATCATGGAACTGCCTTTTTAACAAGGGCTTTCTTCTGCATGGAGGTGATAGGGAATATGTTCAAATGTATTAACCAACAATTCTATGGTGAAGGTATGGGTGCTAACGTCTTTGAAATGGGTCTTAATGTCTTTACTAACTTCAAGCAGCAGGTTGGTTACAAAGCCTAGACAGCTTAGCTCCTGAAACAGACAAGGTTCTGCACAAGCTTGAGTTTCTGAACTTCAGGGTAAAATGCCAGGTTCAAGCAAGGAATAAGAGGGGAATATGTGGTAGGTGGTTCAGGAAGGCTGTACCTTCCTAGTGCCTCATCAATGGGGAAAGAAAGAGGGCAACATGTGGCCGGGAGTTTGTGATAAAAGGAGGCTGCACCCTCTAAAATGTCAAGAGAGAAAACCCCACGGGCTGTGCTCCAGTGGACTCTCTCCCTTTATTTTAATAAAGTTTCAGGACTCCTCTGTCTCCTTTATGGATGTTGGCTTTTCATAGCATGATTTTTGGTACAGGGGTATCTGGCTTTCCCCTTGTAAAGTCAGATTTTCAGTTGCAGCCTCTCAGCTCCAGGTGATCTTACCAGTATCCCAATAGCCCTTTAATTTACATATCTAAATGTCATCTAAAATACTTGATCAGAGTCATCTATATTCCTTTAGGCAAAGAATGATCCATTATCATTAAGTATCAAAAGTATCTCAGCAGGATAGTGAGAATTTCAACCTTTATGTTCCTAAGGTTTTTTTAAGACAAGACAACAAAGTTTTAATAAACTTTTGGGGGTTGAAAAAGCTTTCTTCATTGTGAATTTGGATGGATGATTATAGCTTGATTTAATTTTTAATAAAATTGACTGAAATAAAGAAACAAAATACTCTCAGAATTCCAGATAATTATTCAGAATATCACTCATGTCATATTTCATGCAAAAGAGTGTCTCAGAAAATGTCAGAAACATGCCATATGTTTTCTGTTCCAATTAACAGAAAATACCTCACAATCCTGCAGTCACCAAAGTGAGATTTATTGCAATTCAAAGGCAGACATGATAATTCACACCAGTTAATACTGTTGTGCTAGTGTTATAGGGTAGAATATGGCTCCGTCCTTCTAAATATGAAAGTAAGTGAAAACACTTTTAAAACCTGGGATGTAAATTGTCCTCATCTCAACCTTAATCTCAATCTGTGATCTTAGTCCTTTGGGCCTCCGGTTCTCCTCTCCAGCCCAAGGAAGGGGTGGGAACCGGGGGAGTGAGCCGTGTGTGTGTTTTAGTGGGAGCATTACATTGGACAATATAATTCCTAAGCCACCACCCAAGTCCTACTGAATTTTATTGGGGCTTGGGTCAGCACTACAGTGCGCCTGTAAGTTGCAAACTTACTACATCTCACACTAAAAACCCTTATGATTTCAAAAAAGCTTGAATAAAATGGCAACACATCGCCAAGCGCACAGGAACATGCTGAGAATCAAACATTATGAAAGCTTTCATCCTGCAAATGTTCTTAAACGTCAGTTTCACTTACCATTTTCAGACATTTGGACTCGGTGCCTGTTTCTTCTCCACAATTAATGTTTCTATAAGACAGGAATCTTACACTTTCTGAGACTTTCTCAATCTTACACTTTCATCTCCTGTGAGTACAACACTAGGAGAAGATAAAAAGAGAAGAGGGTAATATTTATCAACATCTGAAGGTTTTCTTCAAGTTAGTAGGCATATAATGTTTGTTCAAACACTTACATGGTATCGGTACTGTCTTAACATGAACATACTTCAAGAGAAATCTTGCCTGTTTTTTATTTTCAAAAGTCTCAGTCATGAAAATATAAGCCAAGTTTGACTCAAAATCTGGTGATTCTTTGCTTCCAGAATGTTTGTATGGTGCAAATTCTATATTTTCTATTTCTATACTTGGGAAAGTATATTCTGCAAATTATTAGCCATTCTACAGGTAAAAGAATAATTTGTGTTCAAATAAATTTGCAGTAGAAGCTTTACCTTCACATATTTTTTTTTAAAAGATCTGTGAAATATTTATCCTTAAAATCAACCTTGTATACTGCAAGTGTTTAAATATCAAACTTATCTTCCTCAATGTGACATTATTCCACAGTAAAATTCCATAGTTAAAACTTTGACCTCCTTAAACTTTTTGATAATTGCTAGATGTAATTTTATATAACTAAGAAAAATCACTTTGCTAGTTTAAGTTTTACACAAAAATTCAATACCACCCTTCCAAAATATCCTGTCAAGTAATACGTAAGGAAAAGTAAACCTATGGAGTGGAGTGACAATGAGGAAGCTATGAGGGATTTATGATTTGTCTGGGGTCTGGAGTTATATTTTTTGGAAGAAGTGGGGAAAATGTTCTAGGAGACAGATGGATATAATAGGCATTAAGTTTTTACCTTTCTTTAAGTGTTTTTCAGATCTGAGGTAATATTCTCTTTCACTCTGAAGTGTTTTGTAGGAAAAACAAAAAAACCGGGAAATTTATCCTCAGGATCTGTAAACAAGAAGAAGCATGATAGCAGCCTGAGTGTTTAAACAGGTAAACCTTTAAATGTCATTTTAGCCACCTTCTGAGCACTGGCTTTTTATTGTTTTTCCTTAGAAACACCACAGAGAAGACACAGTCCTGTTTTGCTGGCAGTGCATGAAAACCTGCCAAAGTGACAGGTCCCACAACAGAAATCTGGTGTCCTCAAAGTGCTGCTTGTTCTTCCCAAGTCTGCAGTCACACATGTTCAAGGACCAGATCCTTATCTGAACAAATAAAATTAATACTTCCACACTAAATTCATTACTTTCATTTATATCAAAAGGAAGGACTTCTGTGAATAAAGAAAACTACAGAATAGTGTGAGAAAATTACTGAATTTGAGGAATTGAAAATGTGGTTAAAGATTTCCTTGCAGTGGAACTTAGGGATTTGCAAGGCATCCTTGAATATAACATTTTGGAAAAAATGACAGAGAAAATAATTGGAGACACAAAACATAACTTTGCATTATTCTTTGTCAGAAAAATACAGACCTGATCTCTTTCTGAAGAGCTTACATTGAGAAGTTGCATTGTTAGCAAAAAGCTCCCCTCTCAATAGCAATAGTTTTAAGTAGCAATTTGGACAATAGATTTTCTTTCCATTCCTTCTATATTACCTTAAGTAGAGATTTATCTGAAAAACATTTTTGGAAAATATTCCAGAGCACAGGCTTCCTTTTTCTTTATTGGTACTACTAAAAAATAGTACCAATAGCTTCACTACATGCCTCATATATTAAATACATTCAGCATTCCCCAAATTTTAATGGTGATAAGTGAAACTAATGACCACAAATGGATTTGCTTGACTTGATTGCAAAAGTTAATTTTAGAGGTTGAAAACATTAATGTCTTATTTCATTGAGTTTTTAAAAGCCTGGAACATAATGACTTTCCTGTGCATTGCTTTTAATATGTTGCTGAATATTAAAAATAATTTTATTGGATAATAATATGTCTCTGCTTTCAAGAAATGTGACTCAGACTGGAAATGTTTCTACTTAACATAATAGATTTTCTACAATAGTACTTTCTTCAAAAGTCACCACTAAAGAAGTGGTGTTTCTCACACTAAACTACTTCTTGTATGTAACTGAACCAAACTTGCAGGAAATAAAGCATAATTTTCTTGTGAGTCAATACACAGAATTAACTGGTGGATTAAATTATTTCTTTTAGAGACCCACCATGCAGGGGGGAAAAAATGAATTACTTTTTTAATTACTCCTATTTCCTCAAGCTGTTTCCTACTGAGTTACCATACCTACAGTCATACCTCACATCAGGGAAGACCCAGCTTGGCAGTAGCTGCTACATCTGCTTTTCTAGACAAGAATGAAGCAATATTTTAGATATTAAAATTAAAGTGCTGAAGTTGGGCCACAAAGAAAGATTCTTGTTTACTAATGTGGTTCATACAGAATTCTGTATTCAGTCTCTCATTTTAATAAGGTCTATGAAGCAATAGTATAAGTTAAATCAAGATAGTTAGTTAAATTAGTTAAATAAGCAGTGGAATAAATATTTTAGGAGAAATCAAAGAACTGTTTTGAACTTTGATGAAACCTTTATCATCCTAATGAGTTCTATTACTTGAAGCTGCTGCTGGCCAGCTGTGACACTTACCAGATTCTCATGCAGCAATTTCCTCACATGTGTGAGAACTTGTGATGGGACTTCAGGTGCAGTGTGTAAAAATGTGATCAACAGCTCATATCCTATCCATGTCTACTAATTCCTCCCCCATCGGTGCTCAGTGTGGAGCTGTACCTGTAGAGGTAGAGAATGCAGATTTCTGAGCGCTGTGGTTTTCCTTTGGCCTTTTCCTCACAAGGTGTTTTTGGTTCACTGCTAGACAATTACTTCAGACAATTCAATGTCTCATTGCTAACTATGAGGCTTGAAAGAGAATTAATCACGCAGCATACATCCAACATGCTGAAGAAAAGGTTTCCCTGATTGCTTTTTGTAGGTATGATCCTTGCCTTATTTAAATTATTTAGGAATTCTCTTAGGGAACAAGGTAGATCTTTAATTTCATTATCTACTTGTAGATTTGTTCAATTTTCAATATCTTTAGTTCAATTTTCACACAAAATAAGTTTTTAATAACAGCTATTAATTCATATATGTACTTTTGGAAATAAATGTCAAAACATTTTTATCCCACTGTGTAGTGGAGCACAAAAGTGGCATGGTGACTCGGCCAGTGTCATACAACAGGTATGCCCAGTCCTATCTTTTGCAACATGCTTTCCTATGCCTAGTTAAAGAGAAAGAAAAATCAATCTCATCAATAGTTTGATTCCTAGACAAATGTATTTTCTCTAGAAATGAAAATATAATTTTTCTTCTTCACTTCTAGTTCTGACAAGCAAATCAAGTCTTTCTTTATTGGTCATATTTATCTGCAGCTAATAAAATGCTTTTAAAAACCAAGTATCCAGATTTTAATAATTTCAATTATAATTTCATGCAAGTTTGTTTGCATGCACCAACCACAGTTCAAAATTATCTAATCAAGCGACAAATAAACATTTTCCTCTGACAGATCATATCAGCTTTAGTATTCCATGCCTACAAAAAAAAATTCTTTCTCAAGAATTGTCTATGCTCAGAAACCAAAATAGAATATAATTTTCTTTGACTCAACTTCCTCTTCAAGCAGTTTCTACACAGCACTGAACATAGTTCTCTAAACTAAGCTAAACTAAACGAAACCATTTATTTGTGCATAGAGGACAAACGCATCAAAAAGCATGTGCAATAACACCATGAGTGAATTATCACCATAATATACATATGCATAAATCTCTGTGGAAATGTACACTGATGCAAATTTCAGGATAACAATCTTTGAATCTTTATTTTTAGTTCTAACTGGAATTTATTAATCAACATATTTAGTGTGTCAATAAATACTCTAGGGAATTTTTTAATGTAGTTGTGCAGCATCGTGGAGATTTATTTCTAATGCTTTGGTGCATTTGTTCAAAGGTTTTGTAAGGAGCTGTGGTGAGTCAGATGGTGTCCACAAGCAGAACTGCTAGAAAAGTTGAAAACTATGTTCAACTGCTTTTCACATGGTGAGTTAACTTTGGCTAAAGGACAAACTCCCACTTGGCTGCTCACTCCCTCCTCCTACTCTGCAGGATGAGAAGAAAATAGGATAAGGAAGACTGTAATGAGATGAAGACAGGGACATCACTTACCAATGACTGACTTGGGGAAAATTAATGTAATTTATTGTCCATTAGAATATATTTGAATAGTAAGAAACAAAGACAAATATTACAACATACTGCTTCTCCCCACTTGGCTATGTTCAACTTCACACCTTTACTCTGCATATGAGCTCTGGAAAATTTAAAGCAACTCAGTTTAATGAAAGACTTCTTCTTCTGTAATACTAATAACTTACCTTGTTTCTTACATACCTTCTAGAAACTTAACCTCTATCACATGGCCTTGGTAGAAATCACAAATTCTTAGGATAAGCTTATACAGAAGGGTCCTGCAAGGAACATCAAGTCCAACTCCTGGCCCTGAACAGAAGAACCCGAAGAATCACACCATGTGCCTGAAAACATTGTCCAAATATTTCCTGAACCTCATTTCTCTCTGTGATAGGTTATGCTATAAGATAATCAATACTCTCACCTAAAGAATACATCTATCTTTTCCCCCATTCCAGTGGGATGTTTTCCCAGATTTGATCAAACTTTGAAGAGTTTCTTAAAGTAAACTTTGAAATGCAAGTACATAACAGTAACTGCAGTAAATGGACACCGTTTGTAGCACTGTAAATAGAGCTACCAAGAAAGCAGAAGTACTGAGCCACAAACAGATGGTATCTGAAATTATGTATTCATTTTGCTGATTACCAGCAATTTTATAGTTTTTTTTCTCCTGAATATAATAACGGCTACATGTTAATAAAATGGCAGTTATATGATTTGCCTTGACATCTACATTACTTAGCAGGTTTTGGATTTTTTAATTCTCTAGCACTTAGCATCTGTGTTTTCTTGGAGTCCCTGGTTTCATGG